TACCTGTTCACATGTTTTCTTACGAGTAGATTCGGTACGCAAACCTTGGCAACAACCTTACGAAGGCTCATTTCACGTGATCGCTCGTCACGAAAAGACCTTCAAGGTTGATCGATATGGACGCGTCGAGATCGTCAGCATTGATCGTCTCAAATCAGTACACGTCGATGACAGTGCCCTATCTGATACCCTGAGATTCAATGTTAGACCTATCAAACCTAGCGGGATCCTCAAACCATCTTCAGGTCCCACGCGAGATACACCTGAGACCTCATTCTCACGTCCCGGTCAACAGCACGCGTCATCTGCACTATCTACGGACGAGACAACAGTCTCACGTCCAGATCAGCAGACCACGCAGCCTTTGACTTCGGATGAGATTGCAGGTTCACGCGACGCGAACGAGACTACCGTCTCACGTTCCGGTCGCCGAGTACGGTTGCCCGTACGCTTTCGTGACTAGCCGCACAGTCAACAACCGATACGGTGTAGGACTATTCCTATACTACACGCATGCTACACTCTTCTCTCTTTTGATTTTCCTTTTGTTTCCTGAGCCCACGCCTTCGACCATCTCAGTTTGGTTCCGCCGACTTCAGTCAACCTTGGCGAAAGCTGGAATGGCCACCCACGCTCTTGTCAACGCACTCAGTCGATATATTGGTTTGAATGTTTGGCACACGCTTGGTCTCGAATTTGGTCGTTGCGGCCGCTTTTGGCTCAACGTGGTTTCGTCCTACGTCTGTAGCGTTTCTGGTCCGCATTCCTTACGAACGCCATCTTCAGATTCTGGATACAAACCACTCGTGTAGCATGCCAACTCAAGCAACAAGCACAGTACATCGATTCTGGTACCGTTCTCCGAAAATAACCTTCGTTGGCAACTCGACGATCAATAATCGCTTTCCTGTTCGCCAATCCGTTCGTCCTACAAACGCTCGTCAGACGATCAGTCCCACGGTTTAAACCGTTATTAATCGAAAGTGTAAACCCTTTCTAGCGGGGGGCTCATCTAGTGACTTACATTTATCACGAGAACACGACTGATTTAATAAAAACAATTATTACTATAAACAGTTGTACCAGTGTTTGTTTTAATGTGCTTTTGTTTGACTGTGCTAATGACAGCTATATTGGGCTTCCATTCTTGTCCACACACTTCGATTGTAACTTCGCGCGAATTCGGTTACCTTCTGTAACCAAGCTTGTAACCTGGCACGATCTCGGTATCCCTTCGATACCACGAGATCGCCAGTGAATAAATCTTGACTTGGTCCATTTTCTGCCTTCTGATATTTGGCTTCTCGGGGTTTTTATGGAGTCATTTGAATTGAGCTTCATGGTAGCGGTGTTCATAGTCAATCTCGACTCGACGCCACGCTACAATTGGTGATCCCAAAGTTTGGAACACGCCTCAACCTCCGGCGAAATCTTCCAAAGAAGCCAGTTTGGTGAGTCTGTTATTTATCTATACACGTCTGTCGTATATTTTCATATTACCTTTTAATATATAATATACTCGACATGACGGATAACGATAAGAATAGTATTAATATAATAGACTTCCACGTATGTGTACCGAATCCTTGTCACTTTTTATTCGCGTGACGGTAAATCTCACGCTTTCGATTCTCCTCGCTGACCCGGCTGCTTGGTACGGAATGCATACACATAAGCATATCCGTCTACCACCCAGCACCAAATGGTTAAGTTGATCGGTTTCACTGCCAACTTAAAAGTGCTCTACGAGCCCACGAAAATAGCAACTGGCACGGAACCTTACCGCTCGTTATTTTAGGGATCGGAACGAGCTTAAAGGCAGATATCCAATGTTCCGCCGCTGAACTTGTATACGGCACGACATTGCATCTGCCCGGAGAATTCTTCACACCACGGAGCAGACCTGATTTCGGTAAATCAGACTACGTCCATCGACTGTCTGCATTTATGCGAACGCTGTCTCCGGTGTCAACTCGAATACAATATCGACAGGTCGCTCTTCCTCGAGAGCTATCTACCTGTTCACATGTTTTCTTACGAGTAGATTCGGTACGCAAACCTTGGCAACAACCTTACGAAGGCTCATTTCACGTGATCGCTCGTCACGAAAAGACCTTCAAGGTTGATCGATATGGACGCGTCAAGATCGTCAGCATTGATCGTCTCAAATCAGTACACGTCGATGACAGTGCCCTATCTGATACCCTGAGATTCAATGTTAGACCTATCAAACCTAGCGGGATCCTCAAACCATCTTCAGGTCCCACGCGAGATACACCTGAGACCTCATTCTCACATCCCGGTCAACAGCACGCGTCATCTGCACTATCTACGGACGAGACAACAGTCTCACGTCCAGATCAGCAGACCACGCAGCCTTTGACTTCGGATGAGATTGCAGGTTCACGCGACGCGAACGAGACTACCGTCTCACGTTCCGGTCGCCGAGTACGGTTGCCCGTACGCGTTCGTGACTAGCCGCACAGTCAACAACCGATACGGTGTAGGACTATTCCTATACTACACGCATGCTACACTCTTCTCTCTTTTGATTTTCCTTTTGTTTCCTGAGCCCACGCCTTCGACCATCTCAGTTTGGTTCCGCCGACTTCAGTCAACCTTGGCGAAAGCTGGACTGGCCACCCACGTTCTTGTCAACGCACTCAGTCGATATATTGGTTTGAATGTTTGGCACACGCTTGGTCTCGAATTTGGTCGTTGCGGCCGCTTTTGGCTCAACGTGGTTTCGTCCTACGTCTGTAGCGTTTCTGGTCCGCATTCCTTACGAACGCCATCTTCAGATTCTGGATACAAACCACTCGTGTAGCATGCCAACTCAAGCAACAAGCACAGTACATCGATTCTGGTACCGTTCTCCGAAAATAACCTTCGTTGGCAACTCGACGATCAATAATCGCTTTCCTGTTCGCCAATCCGTTCGTCCTACAAACGCTCGTCAGACGATCAGTCCCACGGTTTAAACCGTTATTAATCGAAAGTGTAAACCCTTTCTAGCGGGGGGCTCATCTAGTGACTTACATTTATCACGAGAACACGACTGATTTAATAAAAAACAATTATCACTATAAACAGTTGTACCAGTGTTTGTTTTAATGTGCTTTTGTTTGACTGTGCTAATGACAGCTATATTGGGCTTCCATTCTTGTCCACACACTTCGATTGTAACTTCGCACGAATTCGGTTACCTTCTGTAACCAAGCTTGTAACCTGGCACGATCTCGGTATCCCTTCGATACCACGAGATCGCCAGTGAATAAATCTTGACTTGGTCCATTTTCTGCCTTCTGATATTTGGCTTCTCGGGGTTTTTATGGAGTCATTTGAATTGAGCTTCATGGTAGCGGTGTTCATAGTCAATCTCGACTCCGACGCCACGCTACAGATGTATCTTAAGGCCATACAACTAGGAGAACACACACCTAAAACAAAGGTAAGAGCATAACGGGGCGGTAGATCACGTGGTGGTTTATGGTGTAAAGGCGGCTGCAGAAAGGTAGAGTCTTTGATGCATATCCTCCAGGAATGCAAACTCACTCAAAGACTGAGGATTGATCGACATAACAGGGTAATGATAAAGTTGGAAGGTTCCCTGAGGCGGGTGGGTCTCTCTGTTATTCGGGAGCCACACATTCGTAAATGCAACGGACATATGAAACCAGACCTACTGGCGGACAGAAAAGGTGAGATTTTCGTGCTTGATGTTATCATCTGTAGCGATGACAGGTTGAAGACGTCATGGAACGCCAAAATACGCAAGTATAATACTAAATCGTTGAACACAAGTTTCAGACAGGCATGTAACTTACTGGAAGCATCGGTTCACCATTTGCTGATAGCCATTACTATGCGCGGGATAATGGATGGGCGGTCTGACAAAGGCCTGAGTGAGATAGGATTACCCAAGAAGGCAATATCGTGGTTGTGCGAGCAGGCAATCATAGGATCACTGATATGCTATGATGCCTATATGAATGACTCGTTAGCCCGAACGGTCAGGCGATAATGTAGTAGCGAATACCTAACCAGAGGCAGGATTGTATCCGCCCCACTGGTTCAAGATCTGGCAATCGTGGTACTCCGGATATCAAACGGAACCATGGAACTGCATCTATGCCCGCTTGTGTGTATCTGGTAACAGATGTATGCTTATGGACCATACTTGTAGTGCTCTATTCCTATGTGGGTAGACAGCTGGGTCTCTGAAACTTAAAGGATTTGACGGATGTAATTAGCAATGCTTTGAGGAGTACCGAATGTTGAATCTAGAGCTAATACATGCCTTGAGTACCGGAACCGCAAGGGAACGGGCGCACTTATTAGATACTCTGGAGAAAGTGATATTCGCTCTTCTGGAACGTGATAGTTGCAGTGAAAAAGCCCGAGAGTTGCAAACCTCCAACCAGAGGCAGGACTGTATCCGCCTCACTGGTTCAAATATGGCATGCACCTGGCCTCGTGCTAACACGTTCCAGAAGACCGAACATCACTTTCTCCAGAGTATCTAATAAGTGCGCCCGTTCCCTTGCGGTCCCGGTACTCAAGGCATGTATTAGCTCTAGATTCAACATTCGGTACTCCTCAAAGCATTGCTAATTACATCCGTCAAATCCTTTAAGTTTCAGAGACCCAGCTGTCTACCCACATAGGAATAGAGCACTACAAGTATGGTCCATAAGCATACATCTGTTACCAGATACACACAAACGGGCATAGATGTAGTTCCATGGTTCCATTTGATATCCGGAGTACCACGATTGCCAGATCTTGAACCAGTGGGGCGGATACAATCCTGCCTCTGGTTAGGTAGTTGCTACTACATAATAATAATAATTTATTCTCAAATAACAGTTTGTTACATGAGGCATGCCATGCAAGATCAAATTGATATAAATGATACAATATTCACTGCAGTAAATTACATAACTGTGTTGATAATTTATAAGATATGAATGTAGATGGTTTCAGTCAGTATCACAGTTGGCGCGCTTCATAAAAGTCGCGTTGCGAATGTGCGACTGATGGTCAAGGATAGGTCCATTGAAGGTTCGAGTTTCTAAATGTCGCAACCTTATGTCCTTTTGGAATGTATAATGCTTTGAGGATGGTACAGGACGAAATATTTCGTTCCATATCACAAGGGGGCTGAAAGAGGGAGCAAGTAAAAGAAAAGACGAGAGGCAGAGTAGCCAACATTCATGAAGGAATGTTTAAGGTATGATTACTCAGTCTAGTTTTCCTTTATTAAGATATTTGTTAAGAAAGAGCATTTTAATAGGGTAAAGAAAATAAGTGTTAACAAGGTGTGAGTGGACATACAACTGACAAATGGAGGTGATTCGGAAAAGAGCTGAGAGTATAAGATTATGTGTGATTATCGCCTGACCGTTCGGGCTAACGAGTCATTCATATAGGCATCATAGCATATCAGTGATCCTATGATTGCCTGCTCGCACAACCACGATATTGCCTTCTTGGGTAATCCTATCTCACTCAGGCATTTGTCAGACCGCCCATCCATTATCCCGCGCATAGTAATGGCTATCAGCAAATGGTGAACCGATGCTTCCAGTAAGTTACATGCCTGTCTGAAACTTGTGTTCAACGATTTAGTATTATACTTGCGTATTTTGGCGTTCCATGACGTCTTCAACCTGTCATCGCTACAGATGATAACATCAAGCACGAAAATCTCACCTTTTCTGTCCGCCAGTAGGTCTGGTTTCATATGTCCGTTGCATTTACGAATGTGTGGCTCCCGAATAACAGAGAGACCCACCCGCCTCAGGGAACCTTCCAACTTTATCATTACCCTGTTATGTCGATCAATCCTCAGTCTTTGAGTGAGTTTGCATTCCTGGAGGATATGCATCAAAGACTCTACCTTTCTGCAGCCGCCTTTACACCATAAACCACCACGTGATCTACCGCCCCGTTATGCTCTTACCTTTGTTTTAAGTGTGTGTCCTCCTAGTTGTATGGTCTTACGATACATCCTAGGATACATCCCTTACGAGGATGTGACCCATAGGTGCGATTATGTACTCAGGCTGGAGACCTGAAGGTCACCACCATCTAGGATGCCATACATTCGCATCTTTAACGCATCATAAAAGTCATCAGACTTCGCTATAACCTGTCTGTTTAGAGTTACACCACCAATAGACTTTCTCTCGAATAGTTTATAGGCCTCCTATTGCCGGATAGCCTGTAACAGTGAACAGTTCCGTGTATTTAACCCCCTTAGTCTTTGTAATCGTCTAATTTCAGCCAATGGATATAGGGGTTCAATCCCAATTCCTCCATCACGTACTCGTGCGTGGAAATAGCTATTAGCTGTGTCGTGTGGTAACCCCAGCCACTGACGAACACGCTTACGGATAGAGACATCAGCTTTTTTAAAGTCGGTTTTACCGATTGCGCCAACTTGGCAAACATATTGGAGTTTTGGTATAGTGTACTGTTTCAGGATCGTCAACCGCTGAATTGGTGTCAGCGGTGCATTAGAGATCTCACTCAGGAGACTTTCAGCCATGGTCCTTATTGGCTGCTGTGTGATACCGGAATGATTGAACCATATACCAAGATATTTGAATTTGTTGGTGACAGTTATAGTGCTTTGACCGGGTTAGTGGACATGGAGGATCCACCAAGAGAATATGGAAAACCTTGGTTTCAAACCAGTAGTGCACATAGGCCCCAGGATCCTGAGGGAAGAAATGGTGTTCGAACCTATTGTTGATGACCGGCTACCATGGGACTGCATCTCTTAGCGTCGTTCTAGTGCCTTGCGTATTGAACCTCTAGGTGAAAGGCTCAAGGAGTGGCCTAAGAAAACCACCTGCTTCGGTTTGGGCACCCGGGCAGTATCTTAACCCTCACACAAATCGGATGATGAAGTGTGGTACATATATATTTAGTTACCCCTTGCACTAATATTTTTCTGTTTAAACAAATCAATAATCACTATAAAAATGGTAAACTGTTAGATAATTTCTTGCGAAAACCCTAACTTACTGCTCTCTTTGTTTTCTCTCGATTTTTCAGCTCTATTTGTGCATTTTCTTTCTGGAATAATGAAAATTACATTTTTCTCTGATCACATTTACATTTTAAAATGTTTAATTCGTCTATACATGCCAGAGATAATGATGATTAACCTAAGCAGAAATTTATCATCACCCCAATCTATTTATCAATGTATTGATTGGTTTTTAGATTTTATATCAACCATTTACACAATTTTTATATTAGGACCAATTTTAAATTGTTTCTCGTTATACCTTGGTGGTCGGAAAAATTTCGGTCGAACTCTAGTCGCATTAGTATTAACTTATTTATGTTTGATTCTATGTTTATTGTATACAGTGTTGATACCACGTCGTCTTTTCATTTTGAATTCATGTTATTTATATAATGAATATAATTCGATCAAGTGTAGTTTACGTACTGAGTGTACATGGTTTTTGTTACATTTTACATTAAGTCATCTAATCATTGTCAATATTTATTTCCATTATTTATCTGCTGTTTTCATTCATCCCGGCAATGTACCACAAATTCCATATAATACTACTAGTAATACTAATACTATATGTTCACGATGTTTTGTATCACGTCCAATAAGAGCACATCATTGTGCTATATGTAAAGCATGTATATTATGTATGGATCATCATTGTCCATGGACAGCTAATTGTATTGGTTTGTATACACATCGGCATTTTTATTTAGTATTGATATTTATGAGTATTGGTGGGATATATTTGCTAACTGTTGGTTGGTCAGACTTTCGAATCTACGTAGTGGAAATGAATGAAAATCAAGTAAGTGTGACTAGTATGAAGTGGAAAAAGTATTTCTTTGAAAATTCTTCTAGTACATTGTCAAAATTGGATGTTGGGATGTATATTATATTAATTAGTTGGTCGTAAAAGATCAAATGGTTTTTAATATTTGTCTCACTAAAATCAATCCAAGATTTAAACGTTAGTATTCAGCAATCTTCACAAACCGTTTGTGGTGTAATTGTCTTTTAGTTGAGCCTGTATTTGAGAAAGTGTGTACCTGTTGTTCGTACAGTAAAACGACAGAATAGACAACAGTTTCGTTAGACCCATAATACTGGTTCAGGTGCTCACTCAACTGGGGAAATAGTAATTAGTTGTCAACTGTGCTGGGTGGATATGTCACTTATTTTGAGCTACTGTCTACTCTGAGTTACTTGGGAAAAAGCTTGCGATGACCTGATAAAAATACGGAATCAATTAGAAAAATCGCCGAGACTACAGTTTACGGACAACCTATGAACGAGTTTTAAGTAACCTTGAGAAATATTAACCAATCAGGAAACAGTTAGTATAGAGTAAGATATACCATACAAAACGATGCACATAACCAAGTCTATAAAGACATATGTGCGCTCTCCAATCCTACGTATATATTGTAGTACCTGGCTTTAGCCAGTGTTACTGGTGCTTTTATTATCCAATTCGCGACAATTGTCATAATTTACCTTAGTCTAAATCTGGATCGAGTAAAAAATCCTATTCTAATAGACTTTTTCCTCCCATACATAACATCGAAAGACAACATCGTCGCGGTAGTCCACAAGTCATTTGATTACCACAATCACGAACAGAGGAATTTCTTAGTAGTCCCACTTATTGTAGCCGCCCACTTATCACGCTTTCTCTAAAATCCGCTGTGAACCGACCGTATTTGCGCATCAGGTATTAAAATTGGTGCCGTGACCTAGAATTCCCTCAAACGCTTTTGATCGGCTCGTCCATAAATTATAGTCTTGCCATTGGAAACTTTAAATATCATTTGTTAAAAGTAAGTAAAAGTAGTGCTCATACTTCCACTTTTTCTTAATGGAATTCCGCAACTTTCATCTTACGACTTTATTCATTTTTATTCACGTTATATCTCTTATTACTGAGGGTTTTTATTTAGCATCTGCTGATATTCAGTTACAGGAAAATTCAAACTGTTACTAATAATGTCTTCCTACTGAATAATTATTTGACCTCAGTAGCTTAGGGAATAATACATCAATGTTTAATGTGAAAGGTCCTGGATTTTTGTTAGCGAGACATAGACTGGATTAAAGCATGCTCAATGCACGATTGCTTTGGCGCATGCTGATTGGCTAATTCTTATCCAATCAGCGTTAGTCGATACTTAGTGAATACTCTAGAAATCTCATGTGAAAAACTATAAATATACTAACGTTTTCCCTATTGTGCTTCTTACTTCCATCTAACCTTGTTATTTGGAATATAATCTCTTTCCGGTTCAATCATGTTCTGATTTGGGGATTTGTCGAGTGAATCGGTGTCAGAGAATACTAAGCAATAGGAATAGCTGGGTTATAACCGTAGGAGAGAATTATAACAATTTAAGTATCAATGTGATAACTTGAACTGATATAGGTCTGTCCCAGATCTTATGTCTTCTATATCTATTTGGTTATACTCCCTCAGTTGTACTTGGTTCAACAACTCATATTTATTGAGATCTTTTCCTACCAGTTTACATTTAATAGTACCAATAGAGTTAAGATTAAATTTTAAAAACATAAGCTATAGTTTCCTGATTACGTATATTTTAATTGGATACGATAATCATTGATAATTGTTACACTGAATTTCTGAAAGTTATTCAATATAAGCCCTTGGTATTTTGATGCTGGGTTACACTATATTCTATATATCCACGGATTGATGTACCATTAGACCTATAACTTTTGTACTTGTTAATAAAAAGTTTACTATTTAAGCAGTTTGTCGGGATTCAATAATTTATGTTCTATGTGGTCATCATCATATTATATTTGTGGATAGTCCTTTACACTTCCAACTTGGTTTTCATAAAAAATCACAACTCATTAGAGTGCTGTAGAATAATAATAATAATATTCTATCCGTTTATCAGAAATGTGTTGTATTACATCCAGATGTTTATTTTTAATTTTTAGATTAATACTACTGTAAAGTATTCATCGATTTGGTTCAACCATAACACATATTTACCATCGAATAAATTCTTCATTCAATTGTTCAAAGGATGTTTCATTTTCAGTGTAATTGCAGTTCCTTTAGTAAGTGCTCTATGCACTTGGCATACATATTTAATTAGTAATGGTGAAACAAGTATTGAACGACATATCAATGCAAAATTCACTAAAATATTAAAACAACGTGGAGTGATTTATCGCAATCCGCATGATTTTGGTATATTTTTAAATTGGATAAAATTTCTAGGCCTTATTGATAAGCATGAAATGGCTAATTATTATGTCAAGAAAAAATCATTTCGTTTATATTTTGTACTTTGTAAAAGGTTTTTTAATCGTATTCTATTACCTTCCTATCATAAACCTTATGATGATGGTTTTAACTATGAATTAAGTTTGAATACTGCTGAGTCAGTTCTAGAATCTTTATCAGAGTCTGGAATGTTTTAATGTACTTTTCGTCTTTGTAATTCTTAGGTCTTGTTTCGCGTCTTTTTAAAACTCTATATTTCTCTTTGTTTTCTATTTCGTGGTATATTACTTATTACTGTTCAAGCAGTATAAGTGTATTCCTTATCGTTACGGGCAGTATTTGTGAAAAATAATGTATTCTGTCAGTTTATGTTCCATTTGCTTTTACTTCGCGTTAGCAGTATAAGGTGTTGTGTCGAGTGCATTCTACGTCTTGTCAGTAACGGAGAGCTACGTTACAGGATGTTATTGTTAACACCGTTGTTGCTACCTTGACGTGGTGGTCGGGCTTGCCTATCGTGATGAAGCAACCGAGTTATACTGACTGGAACAACTGTTCCTCAAGATCCTACCACGTCAGAAAGGTCGGTTGAAGAGCGGTAAGACTAAAAGCAACAAACCTAAGGTCCGAAGGCGAAGTCGTACTGCTGACTGTACAGAGGTGTGGCAGCAGTAAAGTTTCCTTCAGACAACCAGCATGACAGCGATGCTACCTTCCCACAAGGAGGGGTAGGGTTAGAAAAGGTCGACCCTAAAAATACACACCTCGCCTTATCCCACGGATATCCGTCCCCGGTGGTAAGGTCTCAACAAGTACGGAGCTAACACAAAAATTGCCCATAAAAAGGTCGTGTGTGACTGAACTCAAGCAGTTGTCCCTTGGGCACTGCGGTCACGCTCTCAGGTCACTAAGACCACCTTTAATCCAATTTCCTTTTCAGGTACCTCCAGAAGAACCCTTCCACGGTGTGGGCAACCGGGAAGTGATAACCGTTCTCATACCTCTAACAGCACCCAAGACCACTGGATTCATAATCAACCTCCCTTTTCAATTCGCATTATTCCTCCTACATCGACTTTCACCTCTAAATTTCCTCTTTCGGCTTCCTCCTCAAGTATCACCATAGCCAACAATTCTAGTGCTCAAAACACTGTCCCAGGTCTACTGAAACCTCGCTCCAAACTACACATTGGAACCTTCAACGTACGCACCTTATCTCAAATCGGTCAACAGGCTTCCTTGGCTAAAACCCTAGAATCTCGTACCATTGATGTGTGCTGTGTCTCCGAAACACGCATACAGGATCCCAGTGTGGTCATTCACTTGACCTCACCTCGGCAAAACGGAGAGCCAACGAGATACACCCTCCGTGTATCTGGTGACCCGATGGCCAGCTCTCGTGGACTGGCAAGTGTAGACATAGCACTAAGCATGAGGGCCGAACAAGCACTGTTAGAGTGGATCCCCATCAGCAGCCGTCTATGTGCTGTCCGGCTAAACTGCTACGTAAGAACTCAGAAGGATAGGGACACACGTCGTCGCCTTTTTGTCGTTTCTGCCTACGCTCCCACCGACTGCAGCTCAGATGAAGTGAAGGATGAATTTTACAGAAAGCTATCTGAACTTCTTCAGAAAGCTAAACGTTCAGACAAAGTACTCGTAGCAGGTGACTTTAATGCCCAGATAGGTAGTTTAAACCAAACATAAAGGCATTTAGGTGGGTACTTTAGTATTACGGCACAACAAACAGATAATGGTGATCGTCTGCTGCAACTATGCTCAGACAATCGTTTATTTTTAGCAAACACAAATTTTAAGCATAAGGAGAGAGAGACATCGTCTAACATGGCGACCACCTACACCAAACCAACGATGGACTCAAATAGACCGTATTGCCATCAGTCATCGTTGGAGAGGGTCGGTAGAAGATTGTCGCTCGTTCTGGAGTACCTGCTTGGACTCCGACCATGCCCTAATACGGGCACGCATCTGCTTGCGCCTCACTGGACGCAAAAAGCCACATTAAAAAGACCCATTAGAACTGAGTTGAGTAACGAAAAAACCAAAAGTAAGTTCCAGGAACAACTGAGGTCACACTTAGGTAGTTCTGAAAACGAGGCTGACCCAGATGTTGCTTGGAAAGATATAAAAACAGCTGCGGAAACAGCAATGAAATCTATTAGTGACTTAACCCACAGAGTTACAAAGAACCAGTGGATTTCTTCAAAGTCTATCACACTGATGGATTCTCGCAAACTCGTCCCATCAGGTTCCGAACATGATGAAGAGCGACAACAAATCAGATCTAGGTTAAGGAAAAGTCTAAGAAACGACCGTGAGCAGTGGTGGACAACGAAAGCAAAAGAGATGGAAAAGGCGGCGGCTATAGGGAACACAAAACAGATCTACAGACTAATAAAAGAAACTGGAATAAATAAGTCAAGTGTAAGTCAGACAATTTCGGAAAAAGAAGACACTCTCATTCGCTCCCAGTCCAGACGTTTAGAACGATGGGCGGAACACTAGGGAACAGTTCAGCTGGCCTTCAGCGACTATACAACTACCCTCCATTCCCAAACAGTGTGAATGGAACATTGAAGTAGGTCCCCCAACTCTAGCAGAAGTTCAAAAGGCTATAGTTAATCTGAAACGAGAAAGGGCAGCTGGTCCAGATGGATTGGCTCCAGAAGTCTTTAAGGATGGTGGTCCAATTTTAGCGGTTAGGTTGACTAATATTTTAGCTAAGATCTGGGAGTTAGATGTTATTCCATCTGAATGGTCACAATCACTTATCGTCCCAATATATAAGAAAGGATCAAAATCATCTTGTGACAACCACAGAGGGATTAGTTTAACAAATATAGTATCTAAAATACTAGCCTCAATAATAATCAGACGCCAAGCTGGCTTCAGACCTGGTCGTGGCTGCATCGACCGCATATTCACCATTCGTTAGGTTCTAGAACACAGGCATACTTATCGGCGTCCGACGACGGTGGTCTTTCTTGACTTAAAAGCAGCATTTGACTCGGTAGACCGCGAGATTCTGTGACAGTGTCTGTCATTAAAAGGCGTACCCCAGAAGTACATAAACCTTGTAAAGGCTCTTTACTCGAACACTACTAGTCGAGTCAGAGCTTATGGCAAACTGTCATCTAGTTTTGCAACCTCAAGTGGTGTCCGTCAAGGCTGTCCACTTTCTCCATTTCTGTTTAACTTCATCATAGACCTACTGATGGAAATAACATTCTCGTCGACTGAATTCTCAGGTATTGATCTCCTTCCAGGAGGTCCACTTATCGACTTAGAATACGCAGATGATATAGTCCTGTTCGGTGAAAACGCTGATGAAATGCAGTCTTCTGGTAGCACTAAGCTACAATGCCAGAATATTTGGAATGCGCTTCACTAGCTCTAAATGCAAGTTGTTACTTCAGGACTGGTTTGCGTCAACACCTGAACTAAGGATAGGGGGTGAAGTAGTCGAACGCGTTGACAACTTCACTTATCTTGGAAGTCTGATCAGCCCTAATGTGCTGGTATTGGACGAAATCTCAGCACGGATTCGAAAAGCTCGTTTGGCTTTTGCCAAATTGCGTCACCTTTGGCGAAGGTGAGATATCCGTCTATCAATAAAAGGACGAGTATACTGTGGCTAGAGACATTATCAGATGTGTCTCAGAATAGAAGCCAGTGACGATCCTGCTGTAACCTTCTTTATCAGATTGCTGATGTACTAATCAAATTCTAGCTGTCAGATCGATATTGAGTCATGATGTTAATTATTATAATACATCCAGTATAGAAATTTCAATGTTTATAGGTTAGTTCTAGACAATGTGGATGATATATCCATTGTTAATTTCAACAATAATGATGACCTTATTCAATACCATGTTTCATTACTTGAAAGCATTCTCGGCACATATTTTTTAAAAGTAAATGTTCTTAAAATAAGAAGTCTGAAATGGTGGTGGTTATAACGCATCGACAACTTCACCCATCTTGGAAGTCTGATCAGCCCTAATGTGCTGGTATTGGACGAAATCTCAGCACGGATTCGAAAAGCTCGTTTAGCTTTTGCCAAATTGCGTCACCTTTGGCGAAGGTGAGATATCCGTCTGTCAATAAAAGGACGAGTATACTGTGCGGCAGTCCGTTCTGTCTTACTTTACGGCAGCGAACCATTGCCTTTAAGAATAGAAGACACTCGTAAGCTACTAGTATTTGACCACAAATGCCTTAGAAATATTACTGGTGTCTGCTGGGATCACCGGGTAAGTAATAGTGAGGTTAGACACAGGGTATTAGGTAATGATGGTAAATCAGTTGATGAGGTTGTTAATCTTCATCGACTGAGATGGTTGGGCCACGTGTTACGTATACCTGAACACCGATTACCACGTCGTGCAATGCTAACGGGTGTTAGAGATGGTTGGAAGAGAATTAGGGGCGGGCAAACCAAAACGTGGCATCAGTGCTTGAAGACACTAACCTCTAGTCTGAGCCATGTTGGTAGATGCAGACTACTTGGTTGGGGTCCGCGTGACTTTCGTAACCGATGGTTGGAGACTCTTGGTGACATGGCTGAGAATCGATCACAATGGTGTCGGTGCATACACTCTCTGTCTTCCCTTAAATTAAGAGATTAAAATCACTTCATATCTTTCTTTCTACGAACAAAATCTATATTCCGGTACTGTATCCTTATATGCAATCTTTCTCCTATATATTACCACCTTTAACCTAACCACTCGTATGAATCCGGTGTTCATCTTACTGTGCTAATGAGGTATGGCAACCTGGACCGATGCATATATGTGCCTGGTCCTACGTTGTAGCTAACTGACTGATTGTTAGCAACTCATAAAGTCCAACAAGTCACACATTATGTTCACTAAAGTTGGTCTAAGTCATCTTCAATGTAATACAATATTTTCAACGGAGTAACGCGTTGGAGGTTACCAAATTGTCTGTTATCTCAGAAACATTTTGTAATCTCGACCACCCTCAGATGTTGAACACTAAAACGTTGAGTGATAGAAAATTTCCAGCGATTGAGTGCTGTTGTACGTGATGAGATTTGAAAAGCAGATGTATTAGGTAACCCTTTAAAAAAATTTGACTCACAAATGTAGAAGGTATTTAACAGTTAGCTATTAATTAGATTATTTTAGAAAAAGACGAGACAATGATTCACTCACAGTTCATTAAAGCCAGAACGGATAGAACACTTGCAGAAATAGTTAAATCTCCCTCCAGTTACTCTCGTGTTACCCGATATTTCCAAACAATCGGAATGGGAAGTCGATAAAAATTTAGAAACACCATATTTAATCTAAAGCGTGGGAGAACTAAATGATCTAATGAATTAACCCCGAAGATCCTCAAGGATGACGACATAGTTTTAGTAATTCATTTGACTAAAAATTAAGTTTAGAAGCTGGACATTATCTAGCCTAATTGGTCTCAATTTTTGATCGTAAAATATGTAGGAATCTTCTTGTAATCCTCACAAAGAAATTAGTTTGACCAATACAATACCCAAAATATCAACCTTTGTAGTCGCTGAACGTATTAACAGAGATTATAAATAGCGAATCTGAGAAAAACAGGCCTATCTTACACCTGGTCTTGAGTTTATTGATCAAGTTTTTACATTCTGGTAGGTTTTAAAACATGTATAAATCGATGCTCGACGACAGCCATATTACTTGACCTCCAACCAGTATTCAATCCCGTTGATAGAGAGTTTGTATCGCAACATATTTCACGGAAATGTGCACTGATAAAGTAGGATAACTTTCCGACGCTTTAGTTTTTGGGAACCAATGTTCGAATCAGACCTTCTGATGAACTAACATCTTAAATGGTAACCCAAACTGATGCTCGTTAAGACGACCCATTGTTCTTAGTTTTGACTAATTTCGTTGAATATATTCCTTTAAGAATGATACTTAATTTATCTAATTATACACACACAAATGAGTCATATTCAGTGAACAGGTTTACAAAATATAGGATATTTTGGACACCTTAGAGCAACTATAGCAAAAGATATAACGAAAAATTACTTTTTCATCCCACTTACTTTCTAAAATCCTATATATATATATATATATATATATATATATATATATATATATATATATATATATATATATATATATATCGTTGTTCCGGTTATTCCCGTTCCCAACGTCCCTTACCTCATATTGTGTTATATTTCAATGTTACAGTTTAATATTAATCTACTTGCAAGCGGTTGGAGAGAAACCACAAAATACAATATGTTCATACTATCTTGACTCAGTTATTGTTTTGACTTTACTCAAAGGAGTAAAAATATGAAATAAGACTGTTCCAATTCGAAACAAACGTGGATTTAAAATAAGACTAGCATTGTTTGGAGTCGTCTACTGGACAAACGACGAATAATACTGTTTGTAATTTGTTTAGTCAAGATCAGTTCACTATGTTAACCATAATGATAGAATCGGTTGGCGAATGAAGACAATCATGAGACACACACGTCAACCATTTCAATTACCATCAAACAATCACTTATGAAACTACACTATTTGTATATCAAGATTATGAATGTATTTTAAGAATGAAAAATTCCTTCACAGCGATATAAATATATATATATCTACAATACAAAATTGCGTAACATAATTAAGTTCGTAAAAATATAAAACAATAGTTCAACTTACATTGATCACTTTCTTCCCTCAATAACCAAGAAGAAAAATCCGCATAATTCGTTGACTTTAAGAAAAGAAAAAGCCGAACAAATGGAAAGAGTAAAATGTATCCGACCACTTAAGGTTGGCATCTGTCATTATTACTTTTATTAATAGTAGTATTTACAACAATTAAGATACACAATGTTCCAATGTTTTGTCTCTTTTTTCATTTTAAATGTAATTTATATTTACAATGTTTCTCATTCGGAATATAATTACTAGAATCATCACAAAAGTCATCATCATCGTCTTCTACAATCTCGCCTTCTTCTTCTTCTTCTTCATCTTTTCCGTTTATATTGTCTTCGACGTCATCATTGTCGTTGTTATTTAATACAACAAACAATTCGTTCCCTTTTTCTATGTCTTCCACCGCGTTCAGTCGTTCTGTTTTACTGTCGATCATTGCAATATCCTCCTCATTATTATTAGTTGAAGTTGACGTCTGTGATGATAGATATATTGAAGGAGAAGCGCCATATCTTGATGTTGATAATACGGTGGAGAGATATGATGTTTTTTCATTTGTACATGCATTTTGATTAGGAATGTTTTTGTCAAAACAACGACGTTTAGTACTTCTATACAATAATAATTCTTCTCCATTAATATCATCGTTATGGTTTGATAGAAATGATCGTTTCATTGTTTGGTTTTCACTATTATTCATTCTGTAAGTATTTATAGGAGTAATTTTATTATTATTATTCGTAGTAGTATTTGAAGTCAAGGTCGACATAACTGTTGTAGATGTAGGTTTATCTGAAATAAAATATTCCACTAATTGTTCATCCCAATTTTGTACTTGGTCCAATATTTTATTAATATAAGGTTGTTTATATCGTTTTGAAATAACTGAACGTTGAAAATCCAATTGACGAAATGTATCTGTTGAAAATTTTAAAAAATTTCGAAATAGAGTGTTCAATGTTTAATGAATTTAGTTCGTCATTTATTCAAATAAAAAAGAGCCTAGCTTATAAATGCATTGGTCCAGATTGTTCTGCACTATACAATCAGCACAACAAGACGAATGCTGAAGCAATCGAACTATTTGCATCAGTAATGGTAAAAAAAGATTACACAAATAGAATATGTTTCGAGAAGAAAGAATCAATCTCTAGTATCAAAAAAATGAAATAATGTTGAAATTCAGGATCTATCGGGAGAAAAATAGTAAATAATCGAGCTTTACTCAGGTCAATTTTAACTCATGTCACAATATTTTGAACTATTGATCACGACAAACGAAGGAACTCCGACCAGGTAGTTGGCACCTGCAAACACGGTTTAGTTAAACAGTCAATGATTTCATGAATTGATGCTATGTTTTGGCTTGCTAGCTTTTTTCTTTCCTGAAACTTGCTTTAGTAGCCCAGTCAACATCGTGTATCAAGGTAAAGGGTAATTGGGCATGCACAACGCGTGCTACAATGACTTCACTTGGTGAGGATTTGGAATTTTATGAACTAATTTATCATTTTTGTTCAGTACCCTGGGTTTAATCTGGAAACTGATAACTCAGTGGTCACAACTTAAATATTCAAATTAGAGATTCGTACAGATTGGTTTGTTTGGAGATAGTTTCCAAAGTCGAAATGTAGTTTAATAGAAACAATCACTAATTAGCTATTCCCTGGTGATTAACATTGGGACGAATTCATTAGAGTTTTAATGAGAAATTGTGACTACCTACTTACCACGAACAGATTCGTGCACTGAGCTATTGATACTACTCGGTTATCAAGACCCAAGTAAGCGGAGCAGGACTTGGTTCTGTGAATTATGAGCTGAAATTCCAACGCTTTAAAGCAATAAACCATGTACCTGCTATCACACACACCTACAGGTTCTGGACACAATCTCTGGCGAAGTGGTAGTGAGAACACTCAAATGAAACAGACTCAGTGCTCTCTAGTTTTCAGTGGTTTATCAAGTAACATCAATTTCCTTATTATAATTGTCTTCAAACAATATACGTAAATAGTTCATTGATTAAAACGCTCAACTTGCGACCACTAAGTTGCAGGATCAAACCCGGCCTCACATACTTTGGGTCTACAGAAATGGTTGGTACCACTATCCTGCACAATTAAAGTGTAGCTTGAAGCCACGTACGCGGTTCCGTATCTGGTAAATTCGTGAGTAGCCCCAATATGGATGTTCTAAAACGTTAGTAAGATACGGTGACATAAGGATGATGATTTCACTACACAACCTATGAGTTCACCGGAGTCAGATACTTGATTTTCCATGGGAAATGTTCCGCGTTTCGCTATAATCCTGTCCATAAAAGGTTTTCTTGAATTCTTTGCTTGAATAACCACTGTAACGGTTGACTGGCGATCATGAAGCTAAAGAGACTGTTATATCCTAGCGAAGATTAAATTACGAGTAACTTCTGAGACATTTTAATGGACTAATTGTTGTGAACGGGGAAATAAGAAGCCCAGATAACTACGAAAGCTATTTTCTTGGGACGTTATTTCATTTCACTCAAACCTTGTAAAACACTTATATTCATTTTTGTCCCCATTTTATTCTACATAACATGAGCTTTCGTTCTATGTATCATTCACTGCCATACCCTTTTTTGTTCCGAAAATATTGTAATTTAAACATAATATTTTGCATCTTATTTTCTACCCTAATTCCCAGTTTCGGGCATAATTGTATTTTTCAAAATTATCGTACGTTGTGCTCAGGATATTCACTTATTTATTCATGTACATTTTTGCACTAATCCGAATTCAGAGAATCCAGAATTCAGTGTTCCAACTGTCGTGTCTTCTCTCATTTGCGTGCTTGCCAACCAATCAGGTTCTAGAATAGTTCTCTTTCTACCCCTTCTCGAACTCACGCGTACTAGACTCAAGGTTAAGCCGCTCAGCCTATCGCGTCAAGGTCATAATCTAGACTAGACAGATCAAGGTCAAGTCATGACAGAGTATCAACGGGGTAAAAAGCGATTCAAGGTCATAGCACTAATATTATCTACATATTAAAATAACCCATAGTGTCACTGAATAAGAAAAAGAGAATTCAGCGAAGAAAATTTTCTTTTCGACGAAATATATACGAATGTACAGCTTAAGTAAATGATTTCGTCGAAAAGAAAGTTTTCTTCGCTGAATTCTCTTTTTCTTATCTACATATTCTTATGGTATAACTATTTAGTAATTAGATTGTGTACATTTATATTCCCTTTATTGCAAGCTTCATTTTGACCTATAGATTATTATTGTACGATCTACTGTTCTTAGATTATACTCAGTTTGTTAGTTAGTCTCCCACAATCACAGTCACATTTTGGCTTTATTGTGTATGAATGTTATTTCCTATTTTATGGTGCGTTGCGGTCTGCTTGGTTCATATACAAACCCAATATGTCTGAAATAAATGATTCGCATAGTGCAGGCTGTTGTTGGCATTCTGGACTCAGCTGGACGGGCAACGGACCAATAGGACGCTCGGCTGATCAGACCGAACGAACGTCATTGATTTAGTACAGTACAAAGGCAAATAAGTCGCATTTTGATTGGCGAATAAATTACGTGATAACTAGCGGGTCATAAAAACACAACAAAGTGTCGACGGGGATTTTGCGAAAAAGAAAACAGATTGTATATATTCAAAGTTCCCATCAAGACAGGAGGTTAATAGTAGCTATAGTTTCATACCATTTTTTCTAGTTCTTATAGTGGTTACTAAAACATCTAGCCTATTTGAAAAGAATAGATTATTACACTGTTATCTCTGTTAACAGCTAACAACATTTCATGGTTTTCTTGAACGTTTTACTCAAGTTTCAGCAAAACTTTAAAAGCTCAATTCGTGTATTCTATTTACAATTTGTGTAAAATACAAAAATTCATCAAAACTTGGAAACTGGTTTCACAAGCGAATGTTCGCACAACAGACATCAACATTGTATGATATATATTTCAACAGACGACTGCTACTAATACTCACCTTGATGTAATTCCAATGCCTTTTTAGCTGCTTCCATTTGAGCTTGTTGAACAGACCGACCTTCACCAGTTGCTAATCGTTGACCACGAAAATAAACACCAACACGATAAACACGTTGGTTAGTTGGCCCACTATGTTCTAAAACCTAATAAAGATAACAACATAACATAAGAGAATAATAAGTTATGCAAAATGTGGCACATTATTCTACTAATTAATATAAGACATTCTGTCTTTCTAAATTAAAGATAAATTGTCAAAAAAAGCTGATACCAGAAAAAAAACAGTAGAAGTAATTAAGTCGTTGTATTCGCCTGCTGTTGATGTTGAGCGTTAACTGAACTAAGTGAACCGTCTCAATGAAGCCATTTGGTCACAATTTAAAACCTGTATTTATGAAAACTTCGAACGTGGGTGGCATGTTGTATTTTGTGATCGTTAATTACCTGTTCAGATGATTATTAAGTGAATTCAGAAGAAATCGTCTTTGTTGGTCTCTGAGCTCAGAAAAAAAAACACATTCAGTATCCTCATCCCGAGCTAAAAACATTGTTAATCATCTCAAATCTACTATGGACACAATTCTAACAAAGGTATGAACTTTTTTACACAGTTTAAATAATGAACCGATCTAAGCTAGACCATCAGTGAAAACCTAGAAGTGCTGGACAGCCGTCTCGTTCTAGTAGCATAGGGTTATTCAGAAGTGCGCATTAATGACCCCGCACGCAGGATTCAAACTAAGGACCTTCGGTCTCGTTTGTAAACAAGTGTGTCTCATGATTGTCTTCATTCGCCAACCGATTCTATCATTATGGTTAACATAGTGAACTGATCTTGACTAAACAAATTACAAACAGTATTATTCGTCGTTTGTCCAGTAGACGACTCCAAACAATGCTAGTCTTATTTTAAATCCACGTTTGTTTCGAATTGGAACAGTCTTATTTCATATTTTTACTCCTTTGAGTAAAGTCAAAACAATAACTGAGTCAAGATAGTATGAACATATTGTATTTTGTGGTTTCTCTCCAACCGCTTGCAAGTAGATTAATATTAAACTGTAACATTGAAATATAACACAATATGAGGTAAGGGACGTTGGGAACGGGAATAACCGGAGCAACGATATATATAGAATTTTAGAAGGTAAGGTGTGTGAGACGGTTATCCACTTCAGGCAATGGATGAATGGGTGAGAAGGATTATGTTTTTAATGAAGTTAGACATGAACATCGTTGGATGCCGATTGAGTAGTCTAAATGTTAAGCGTTCATAAACGAGACCGAATGTCCTTGGTTCGAGTCCTGCATGAGGGATCGTGGGTGCTCACCACCGAGTAGCCCTATACTACTAGAAAGAAACGACTGTCCAGCATTTTCAGGTTTTCAATGGTTTTATAGCTTCGACTGGTTCGTTATTTCAACTGTGCGAATACTACAATCTCCACAAATCCCCATACCGATAAAATATGATTTGACAAAATAACAGAAAAGCTAGGGTTCTCGTTATTCCCAGGGATATTTTGAGCAATCAAAGCGCAAATGAAACAAGTGTATAATCACAAATGGAAATAAAATTTTTATAACCTTAGTTTAATCTAATAGAGTACGATAGTAAAACGGAAAGAGGTTTTCGTTTGAAAACTAACTTTATAATGTGCAATTTCTGGATCTTCATTTAATGAACGAAATGTAAGACAACATTGTTGTAATTTTGATTTGGCATCATTCCATTCTTGTTTTAAAATAAACTCAACAAGACGTGGCCAAAAACATATTTGACAAAAACGTTCAACCCATGTTAAATCTTTATCGACAAATAATGCACCAATAAATGCTAAAGCGAAAATTTTAAAAATATGACGAGGGAAAAGAGAGAAACAGTGGTATTATGTAATGGGCGTTTTTTAAACGTTATGAATTAAAATTGTTATATTACTATAGATATATGGCATAATAGTTATTTGATAATCTGTCAGTCAGATAGACAGTAAGTAGACAAAGTGTGTGTCTGCATTTCACACCAATAAGGAAGATGAAAAAGGAAAAAGTCAAAGCAACACTAATAACAGCAAAATAATTCAGTTCATGATATTAAACCTAAAATTCAACAGTTTCTACAACACCCTACAATAACAACCACCATATACTGAATAGTCGTTGATTTTAAAAGATAATTCCCGGAATTCTGCTGGGAGGTCGTAATTAGTACAATCATTTAGAGGCCCTATATATGACTCCATTTGGGTCATTTCTGATTGCTATCAAATAATTACTGTCGAAATATACATCCTGACTATTCTCGTATATTATCATCGACTTAAGTCGTGTTGGTCAACAGCGGAATTAAATAAGTCAAATACGAGAATGAATTTCGAATACGTATATTTCATACAATCGATGATCTAGACAAAAGACTAGAGAAGCGAAAAGAATAAAGCGAAGCGAAATAACGCGTAGTGGAGATGGCGTGTGAAGCAACTCAATTTAGCCAAGCGTTAATCAATATTTATAGTTAGACTAAAATAAGTTACAGATATGTGATGAATAGGATAAGAGGTGCACACACGCTCATATAAAAAGAGCCAAAGATGATAAGCGAATTGACGTCAAAATGTGATTCGAGAAGAATAAACTAGTTTATCCAGAAACCAGAATAAGTTGTGTGGGCTTAACATAGCAACCGACACTACAGATCAACGATATCGGATATGTGATAAATATTAGAAATTGATGAGTCGTACAGTATTGTGAATTAATAGTTAATGGCTTAAACTATTGTATGCGCTAGCTTAATGGTCTGAAAGTTAGATGGTTGGTGTGAGACTTGGAGGCCTTAAGTTTGATACTCTGTGGAGTCGTCAATTAGCAAAGCTTAGATTCCTGTAGACTAGAACAAAGCAACTATTCAGTACTATCTGTTTTTTAACAGTTATGTAACGAACGTTATTTTGCAATGTGAGGCTTTAAATAAGGCAATTTTAACGTCGTGTAATGGAAATAGTCATAACAAACGAACAAATGAAATCAAAGTATGAACAGTGTCAAATTATAATAACACATTATTTCATTCAAACAACACTTGATTCATTGATATTATGGAGTCATAAACTTACAACAACATTACATACAATCACTGTTATGTATTAAAATTGATATAAACTTACGATTTTTAGTCAAGTTAATTGTATACGACACTAAAAAATGACTAATCAAATTGTAGTTATAAACGCTCAAACATTTTAATTCAGTTTGAACATCTGAAAATAAATATACGTACATTAGCATCTATGTGATATTCGCTGCGAATTAGCTTCATTCTGAGAAACACTGTCAAACAGGATGAAATGTTTATTGTTCCTTAAATCTGAGACTTGTCAACACAATGAGCACCTACAATGTTAGAAGCCATAGCGTAACTCCTCAAAAAAACTCTTCAGAAGTCATTGAAAAAATCTACGAATATTTTGGACATTCCAACATGATAGGACATGTCTAAGAAAGGACAATTGCTTACGCTTAGTATCAGAAGGCGTTTTGTGGATATTATAGTAATTTTAATGGTTGAGATCATGAGTCAATTTGATTAAACAATTATCACAAACTTGTTACCAATCTTGGAATTTTTCTCAAAACTTAGAATTTCAACGTAATCCTATAAATAACTTTGTTTCCTGAACATAATTTTATTATTGGAATACAGTTTTCATATTTCTCGCCTAATTTTTTCCGTCAAAGGAAGGAGGTGTTCACAAGTCAAAGATTTCACGCGACTAAGAGACTATTTAAAGTATTCAGAGTACAAAATTTATCACGTGATTGATCATCAAAAATACAAAATTGCTCATAATGTTGTTGTGTGTCCAAGATGCTGACAGTCAATTATTCTTCTAATTTCTTAAAGCCCAGTTCTTGATAAAACGATAGACTGTTTTGTTCGATCCTGTCAAGACTTCATAACTAAAATATTTGACCTTAAATCATTATGTGATATACAGCTGGACTTCCCATTCTACCTAAAGCTCAGTTTGAATAAACATTTACTACATATAAACAAAATATGCCATACCACTAGATTGAGTACATACATATTATACTTTGCAAATGAGTTTTGCAACAACAACAAAAACAATGATGATGATGATGATGGTATCAGTAAACATAATTCATAATTACCTTCCAATAAATCAGCTCTGTATTTTACATTTTGATTTTGTGTATTGTTACAATTGCCATTTTTATTTCCATCTGAATTAATAACTTGTTTTTGACCACCTTTTTTATTTTGTTTAGATTTGAGTATATTTGAATTTTGACTACTTATATAATTAGTATTCCAAGACGGATTTGAATGTTTCGATATGTTATTATTATTAGTATTATTGTTATTATTAATTTTGCAATCGTATTTATGCATACTATTATCTTCACGACGTATAACATAATTTTCTAAGCCTAACTCACTGCATACAGATGCCTGTGTATATTTATTCACTAGTGAATTTTTTAACAATGATAAATGTCCTTCATGATGTCGTGGAAAATGTCGAAATAAATAATCTGTTGACACATATTTCAACAAAGAATCACCAAGAAATTCTAAACGTTGATTATCTCCCCTAAAAATTAATACAAATAAACAAAGTAGAAACGAATGCAAATAAGATATTTGGAAAATAAGTGAAGGATATTACATCATAAAATACCACTGACAGTCGAATATAAAAACCTTTCTTTTCTGTTTTAGTCTGAAACTGATTAATTAACTAACTGTTTATAATCATCTATTTTCAAAATGTGCAAACATTGCAATAAATCTTCAGATTTTAGGTTTGTTTTAAATTATTTGATAAACATCTAATGGACTCATCAAACGGTGTTTTAAATAGCTTACATACTATCACGAAGTTGGTTAATATAAATTTTTGCGAGACAACAATGGTGGTTGGAATTGTTTGGTGATAAAATCTGTATGATCAAGGTCTTGTACTAATCATACTTTGAACAGGTTAGTGATAACATTCCGGATTATGAATTTGGGTGGTATGAGTTCGAATCTCACAGGAAACGTTGATCTTCACAGGATCCCAGATACACCTTGTTGAAAAGGGACAACTAGTACGAAACCTAAATTAAAGATTTACCGCTAACTACTTACGACTATTTTTAACTTAAAAATATCATGGATGCGATTTCAAATTATTTAGACTGGTGGATATATAGCTTGATATATAACATCCGATCAGTGCTAAGGACTAATGAGCCATGACACTAGCAGCTACTCAACGATCAAACAATAGTGGTTTATATTGAGATCATGAATCGGTCTAAGCTAAACCACCACTGGAAACGTGGAAGCACTGGACAGCCGTTTCGTTATGGTATGGGACTTCTCAACAGTGCGCATCCGCTATCCAGCATGCGCGACTCCAACCTAGAACCTTCAGCTTCGTGTGAGGACGCTTAAGCATTAGATCACATGGGACTACATACTACGACGAACTGACCGTCCAGTACTTCCAGGTCTTCAATGGTGGTCTAACATTGACTGGTTCATGACCTGAATAAAAACTCATCAATCTCCAGAACCCTACACACATAATGATTTATTTCTCCATTATCCATCTCTAGATAAATGAGAGGGAAGCACAGTGAAATTCATGTACTAAAGGTATATATAATGTAACATGTCGAAAGATCTTCAGATAAATTTACATTGGTTATAACCACCACCATTTCAGACTTCTTATTTTAAGAACATTTACTTTTAAAAAATATGTGCCGAGAATGCTTTCAAGTAATCAAACATGGTATTGAATAAGGTCATCATTATTGTTGAAATTAACAATGGATATATCATCCACATTGTCTAGAACTAACCTATAAACATTGAAATTTCTATACTGGATGTATTATAATAATTAATATCATGGCTCAATATCGATCTGACAGCTAGAATTTGATCAGTACATCAGCAATCTGATAAAGAAGGTTACAGCAGGATCGTCACCGGCTTCTATTCTGAGACACATCTGATAATGTCTCTAGCCAATGTGCTGTACGATTTCTCGGACCCCAGCAAGGGAGCAGAGAAGGAGCAATGTATTGGACTTCGAATAATACAATGGTTATGTGAAAACTAGAATGATACTATAACCCAGCTGTTTACATTAAACTGGAAAGAGTGAGTTTCGAACAAAGGATTTAGTTGATTGAAAGTTGAATGTTTAGTGTAGACCACAAATTTATTGTTAATGGACAGATATCTATGCAATTCGACCCGTAAACTTCAATCCCATATCAATATAAGATTATTATGTTTACAGATGACATTGTCGTTTTCTTTGAAAATATGTCATATTATCAATGATGAAAACGTATAAACCCGTAACAATTTTGGAACTAACTAAAGGTGTTATAATTATCTCAGGCAGTTAATCAAAGCTTTTTTCCAAGACATAAGATAGTCGTACGAGATTTATAATCAATATGTTTAACAACCCAACCAGAGACCGAACATAGAACCTTCAGGTCTCTTAGAGAACATATAGTCACTAGAACTAATGGTATAGGCTACTGAGAGCTACAGAAAACTACATAGCTGTCAGGTTTCTTACTGGTTTTAAATGGTAGCCCAAACTAAGGTCGATATCTGTGATGAATACAACCTACATATAAAAACAATCTTGCACAAAACCTCTTCAATTTAATGAAATTTTAAAAAAACTTACAATGTATAAAAATTAAAACCAGTTTTCCGTATAGTCATAGCACGAGCAAGTACACGTAGGTGTTTAAATGTTATGCCCAAAGTATCTTCTAATGTACACAATTTCTAGAAGGGTTAGTGGACGGTAGGTAGTTAGGAAATGACAGAAATAAAAATATGAGAAAATTTACATGAATATAGTTTGTTTGTTTTTTCAAAAGAGAAAAATTTGATTAGAAATGTCAAAATAAAAATAAAACAATTAGAGAGTATTGAGACAACCGATAATTATGGAGGTACTGTTGTTTTACTTCAGATGAGCTACCTGCTCAAGAATTTATTTGTGAAGTAGATTTATCATGATCTCCAATTGTACTAGTATTTTTGTCTTTTCAATAAATGTTTTGATAGAAAAAACGTCCCTAAAAATTGTCAGAAGTCATTTGCCTAGCTTTTTGTGTTTAATTATCGCTAGATTGTCATAGTGCGCCCTCCTTCTCAGTGACCATTTGCAATTAAGGGAAGAAAACTCAATTTTAGAGTGACAACCCCTCTGTTGAGTAGAGGAGCTGATCTAGTACACATTTTATTCAACTTTGGAATTTCTACTAGAATTGTGTGCACAGACAATTTTTTGCACATTTATTTTATCATTTATCATCTGAACAGTGAATCAGCGTCGAAGAAACTGTACATTTTCGATGTCTTGGCCTATACAGAAATTCAAAAGACCATCTGTTGGACAATGTACGTAAGAATATATGGAAGGAATATCAGTGCAAAATAATATAACGTGAAGTATTGGAAGATCATTAGTCATTCTGTGGCATTCATTCCTAATTTCAATCATTCATTTTTTAACTAAATCATACAGTCCTGAATAAGTATTATACAGGTGTAAATGGCATCTTTAACTTTATAATATAGTTTTAAGACATCAGGTTAGTATTTTCGGATTCTTAAACCTCTATTCGATCGGGTATACCGGGAACCAGTCAGTCAATCCACATATTATTAAATAGATTAAAAGTCGCCAATAGTACACATATTGTACGTAAATGAATCCTGACATTAATTATCTACACATCTCGTTACGGAACGTTACACTGACACAAAGTTTCGTTGTATTTATGATGTGGATAAATTTAAAAAAGTTATCAAAATTTTTTAGATTGAGTTCCTGGTTCCACGTTGCCTGGTGCTTGGAATTATTCGCGTTTCGTAGAACCTGAATAGGCGAGAGTAGATTTCTGGAGAGGAATATGCTTGAAAAACAAGTGTACATATCATATAATCGAAAATATCTAGTCACTCAGTCTCCTTTAAAAAGCATAATAACGACCATGTTGAACATTAGCAAACTTGTAGGTGATTGTTAGATAGATTAGATAGATAGATAGATAAAAATGCAGAAAACTAACCCATTCACCTTTTTTTATACTTCGGTCATAAGTTTGTAAATAATGATGAAAACATACCACATATAAGCATGTAAGTTTGAAATTATTTTTATCAATAATTACATATAGTAAATGTGATCATATATCAGTGGTAAAAAATAGATCGTAAAATACAAATAGAAGTTCATAGAATTCACAAGTCGACAACAATCGGCGATTTAACTTTCTAAGCATTATACTGGTCATGATACATACCAAAGCGAACAATCTTTTTGTTTCATATTTTTCTTTTTTTTTTCTACATCAGTTCCCAGAAGATGTTTTGAGGATAATTAATACATACAACACAAGAACTGTTGGATATACCAACAGTTTTATTGTTGTATGCCTCATACTTCTCAGTAATGAACATAGAACTGTTTGATCAATGGGTAAATATCACAAACCAGAAAATGGCTTGAAAGTTCTTTTCTAAGTGTTTTATTAGGAAATTCATTTTATTTCTGCCAAATTTATTATTACAAAAAGAGGCAACAAAAAAATCATGTAAATATGGTAGATCGATCAAGTTGGTAGAACAACACTTTCAGTTTGTACAGAACATATATTGATTGGCTAGAATTCAGTATTGATACAAACCAAAAGGCAATTATACCAAAGTATGATCGGAAATCATATTGATGAAAAATTATATATATATATATATATATATATATATATATATATATATATATATATATATATATATATATATCAAAAAAGATAAACATCCATTGTTAAAAACTTCAATTGGCAGTTCAGTGAATTGTTATTTACAAATATACGTTCCGTCTATCCCAGAGCGACAACTCACAAACTAGGAAAGCTTAATTTGCAATCAGTGATTCGAAAGTCCGAGTTACGCTTTACATATATGTTGGGTTAAATAGTCTGCTTATCCTTGTTAGTTTTCACACACACATGTGATGATATGAGCCTATAAAATTGATCTATCAAAGTAATTATAACATGAAAGTTGTGTGATTAGGTAGGATGTATCGAGGTTGTTTATTTCGTATGTCTACTCTTTTTACTTACCACTGATATTGTTACTATTTCTATTAGTCTGGGATTTGGCTAAATAATTTTATTAGGCTATGCGCTGATACGATGTGACAACTTGAATTAATGTACATATATGGTAGATCCTACGTTGCTTATGACTGACTGATTGATAATAGTTTTTCAACAGTGGATGTTTATCGAAGATATAATTTAACACAAAATGAACATAACAACAATAATGGAGTGAATACCTTAAGCATAGGAACTTTTGTTGCCCATGATCGATCACCTTCAGGGCATTGTGATTGTAATGGATGCAATGGGATTTGTACCCAAACACGATGAATTCTTTCATCATCGCCAAATAGAACAGCACCAAATATTCTATCAACAATATCAAGTCCAGCGTCTAAAGTGATTGCAGCTAAGATATATATATATATATATATATATGTACATTATTTTGAGTAAAACATTTGATATACATTATGACAATCAAGAGTTGTCCACAGCGGACAAGGAAGGCTTCACAATTATACCACTAACCATATAAAGCACAATAAAAACCATGTAACATGTAACAAATAATCATTAACTATAGTATAATTAACAAATGCACTTATAGCAATTAGTAACCAATCAAAAGTATGCGAAATATTATCACTATTATGAGCGACCAAGCATTTTTCCTTTACAATTGATCGAATAGTTTCACACTATATGGGCGCCGAGTTAATGTGAGACATAAAAGAGGAACAATGTATTTGTATTTGCCAGGCGAAACGTTAGATTTACTTCAAATTCATTCGCTGAGATTTTACAAATGCATTCTTCCTCCTTAATGAGCGACCAAGCGCTTGATTAGTTACACTGAACCAATTACTAATAAAAAAGTACAGTTGACATAATGAAAAATAGAATTATATATCTGCATTGATCGAATAACAATATTTTCAGTTATTTCTAGGTGAAACAGAAGTCTAATTGCAACACAGTTTAATTTATGCTGTTATATTGTCTGAATAATCAATCTTGTTGGCTCGTTTATGCCATTGTCTAACCAGTCAGCTTAAATTATTCAACCATTCTTTCTTATGGGTAATTGTAGCGTGATCATTGTCAATTGAAACTACAGAGAGAAGGAACGTTAGACGTTGAATAGATTGATGAGTTCTATTTTAAAGTTCTGAAAGTTAACAATATATTTGCAGGAATATTAAGTGTACTAGTATCTGTAACTACTTTGAAAATGGGGGAATTAGATAATTCAATCAGATACTGATTAGTTATCATGGGAACGAAATGAGCTTTTTTTTAGAGAAAAAAAAGAAGAGAAAGTCATAGAAGGCGACAAAATTACTTAGAATGATACAAATAAACAGTGAAAGAAAAAGTCATGCTGTAGGGGTTAGTTTAGTGATTAACTACCAAACACTAGTAAGCTGTGGGTCCTAATCCCACTTTACTTACTTCAGTTTGGACACAAATAGATAGCACAATTAGTCTGTACGTATACACACATACATTATAGACCATAGTTAAGTTATATTAAATTATTTTACTGCAAGTCGTGAATTTTAATTAACAGTAGACCCGTCAGTAGATGCACCTAATGTTCAAAAATGGATCATGTCGCTTGAAATAGATCAGAGATGCTGATATACCTAATGATGTATTATCTACAAAGTTACATCCCCGAAAAATTCAAGCTGTTCAAGACCCTTTGTTAATTGAGAGCACGCACACAGCTATATGAATAAATACAATATCAATAATCAACATGATAAAACTTACCCATTAAAGCTTCAAATGCATCAGATCGAGCGTAGATAAATGTAGAATCATAACAAAAGTCTACACTATGAGTATACAACAAGTATTTATGAATGCCAAGACGCTAAAAAATTACGAGAAATTTATTCTTAAATATCGAACGAAATAAAAGTAGACAGAGGATACATGAAATCAGATATTCACTTATTCAAATGTACGATGTGTATTATACAATGCTCACAAATAGGAAACAAATCGAAATCGTTTAAGATTTAATTGATTCGAATGTACGAGTTTGAAACTATTGAGCAGTTAAAAGGAAACAAAAATCAAGTCAGAAAAAAACACATGTTCAGTAAATTTTTCTCAATAACTACTCAATGAATATATTGAGTTTTAGTGATTATCACATAAGTGTTGCCCCTAGGTGACAATTTACTATCTGTGATGTTAATTTAAATTCACCCTTTTTGGATAAGTATAACAATTTGGTGTTATGTGATCGGTTATATTCTGAGAGACAAGTCCCAAATTTAAGTTTCCTGTTACTAATTGAGGCACTAATCATTAGTTAGTTTGTAATTTATGGATATTTATCTGATGGTACAAAAATAGTAGTTGAATATTTTGTACATAAATAAATTACTGTTTCGATTCTCTTTGTAATATATATATTATTAATTCAGTTGGATAATAGTTTTTTTTCTTCTGAATTACATTCACTTACCACTGGAGGATCAATCTTATAAAGCAAATTATCACTTTAGACAACAATCGTTCCGATGTAATTGGAAGAATATACACTAATATATTTGGTATCATTCTATCGAGTTGAAATAACGCTCAGATTTCTCCCTGAATGAACACTAATTTTTTTAGGATGAGCACTGAACGATTTATCTGCGTAAACGATCCACTAGTGCTCTATGCTGGATACCCAGTCAGCATTATTCATCCAGGCATTAACACAACTCAAATCAATAACACGTGATTCACCAGACAATCAAGTAAGTACAAGAGGTAGGGAAATATATACATGACACACCTAATACCTATCGGATTATCTACCAGTCTATCTACATAAACAACCAATCACTACTTTCACTCGCTCACACAATAAGAGTAGTTGGCTGGGTCATGATAGTAGGTGAAATTCACCTGATTGGAGTTTGCTTAAATACTGTGACCAAATGTTAGAAAAGTTTAGGTAACATGTCTCACCGATCGTAATGGCGCATATGAATTCCCATTTTATCTGAAGATAATTATATTTTTTATGAGACAAATTGGTTGTTTATTCTCGAACTATATTGTATATGCCTAGTGTTTTCTCCTACCAGTAACACTACCATTACTATTACTCTTACTACTGTTAGATTTATCTTGATAGTTTCATCTCGCCATGTTAACAACTTGAATTGATGAACACATGTGCTAAGTTGTCGTTTATGACTGAGTGATTAAATCATTAAGTGTTCAATGATTAAACTTACAACAGCTAATTCAGCTAAGTGTTGATTTTGAACGATGGCTTGCCGGTACGCATCCAAATGACCTTCGGATAATTCAGGGAACATAAAGAATAAGTGGATACTGCAAACGGACATACAAATACATATAAACAGAAAAAGGGAAAAAGAGGGTAAGTGGAGGAAAAAGGAAACTATCTAAAAGCAATATTCTTGAGAAAAAGATTCAAAGCTATTAAAACAAAGAGGGGTCTTTCGGCAGTATGCATCCAGGAACACACTAGCAATCAGATTCATGACTTTCATGTCTTGAAAAGAATACTAGACCACCAGAATCAGAGAACCGGTGTCTAATAGTAAAATTCTAACCTCAATTAATACACGATACAGCGAGGCTACCACCATTCAATGCCACTGGTAAGAACTGCTTTACTCTTGAGATACCTGAATTCCATCGATCACCTCACATTCCAGGAACAATTAGAAGTAAATAACTAGTGAGCTGACTATTAATAGTTTAGATGAAAGAGTCTTGTTAAAATCAATTCACTTTCTGAGTGATTGCGCGCCACGGAATGACATCGGTTAAGATGTAATCTTGAAAATCATGGGGTACAGAACACAATTATTTCGTCTTAGTATTATTGGACACCTACCTTCCAGTAGTTTGTATACACAGTCCTGTAAAAAATCAAACTCAAAGCCATCAGTTCAGTGACCTAGCATGAAAAACGAATCGTTATTGAACAATTAACAGACAACGACCAGTTATCTAAACAACAACAATAATAATCTTCATAAGCAATCAATAAGTAAGTCACATAAACAACGTATGACCTGACGTGACAGATGAATACCAATCCAACATGTCGCATTTCAAATCAACCCAATTGCAATGAGGAAATCACCAAGGTTTGGAACGTAGCGGAATATAATAATCTTGATAATATCAATTGTAGTAAATAGTTAAATATGAAAAGTTAAGTTCAGTAAAGAGTGAAAATGAAACCAAAGAATGAAATGTTTGGACAGGATACTAAGCTCATGAGTTAAGTTCAGATATTAACAAACTAAGAGGAAAGTAACAAAGAAGTTCAGATGAGAGTAAAAAGTCAAATATTAGAGAGACAGAGAGGGAACATAAATTTCGAGCAGAATAAATGAAAAGAAGGAATAAAAAACGTATGAAATAACAACCAAATAAATAGATGTTATGTAAAATCGTCAATTGACTAAATTTTGAAAGTTTTTGATACAGATTAACCTCAGTAGGCAAACCACTGAAAACCAACGAGCACTGGGGATAGACAGCTGTTACATCCTACTTTCATAACTACTTATTGGGCGGAGGTCGTGGGCGTGCACTGTCGGAATATCTCACACAAATCGGATAGAACAGAAGTAGTCCTGAGGCCCCACGCCCTTGGTTTTCAAAGGTTTACGAATTGAAGTTAACCAACAATTCAAATTATTTAACTCACTACCTGGAGATAACTTCAACAACTGCATCGCCTAAAAATTCCAATCGTTCATTCCCATAAATATTCGATCGTTCTTCATGCATTTTTGGTAGAAATGACATAACTTGTATCATTTTAGTCAAACCCTTTTTACGCCATGCCTTATATAACTCTAGCTTATCACCATATTCTAAAATACGTGGACCGCAGCTAACCAATGAATTTTGAAAATGATCTTGATTTGTACCGAAATTTGTTCGCCGATATGATGGATGAGTAAGGGATTGCTATAAAAAACAAACAAAAAGAGGGAAACAGTATATAACATTCATGATTACATAGTTATGTCACAATTTAGACTTGTTCCTATCTGAGCTATTTTTATCGCCGTTGTTTTGTCAATCTGCATGCAGGTCGGGTATACAATACGTCTGTGATGGCAGTTCTGTTCTGTATTTCTGAAACTTAGTCCTTCCAAGGTGAGGATGTTTACCAACGCTTTATGTTCAGTCGTCACTATCTCCCGACCGTTGTTGCTACCTTGACGTGGTGGTCGGGCTTGCCTATCGTGATGAAGCAACCGAGCTATACTGGCTGGAACAACCGTTCCTCAAGGTCCTACCATGTCAGACAGGTCGGTTGAAGAGCGGTAAGACTAAAAGCAACAAACCTAAGGTCCGAAGGCGAAGTCGTACTGCTGACTGTACAGAGGTGTGACAGCAGTAAGGTGTTTCCTTCAGACAACCAGCATGACAGCGATGCTGCCTTCCCACAAGGAGGGGTGGGGTTAGAAAAGGTCGACCCTAAAAATGCACACCTCACCTTACCTCACGGATTTCCGTCTCTGGCGGTAAGGCCCTTTGAAGAACGGAGCTAACATGTCAAAAACCTTCCACGGAAAGGCCGTGCGCGACCGGCCTCAAGCAGTTGTCCCTTGGGCACTGCGGTCACGCTCTCAGGTCACTAAGACCACCTTTAATCCAATTTCCTTTTCAGGTACCTCCAGAAGAACCCTTCCACGGTGTGGGCAACCGGGAAGTGATAACCGCCCTCATACCCCTAACAGCACCCAAGACCACTGTATTCATAATCAACCTTCCTCTTCAATTCCTATTATTCCTCCTACATCGACTTTCAACCCTAAACTTCCTCCTTCGGCTTCTTCCTCAAGTGTCACCATAGCCAACGATTCTAGTGCTCAAAACTCTGTCCCAGGTCTACTGAAACCTCGCTCCAAACTACACATTGGAGCTTTCAACGTACGCACTTTATGTCAAATCGGTCAGCAGGCTTCCTTGGCTAAAACCCTAGAGTCTCTTTCCATCGATGTATGCTGTGTCTCCGAAACACGCATACAGGATTCCAGTGTGGTCATTCACTTGACCTCACCTCGGCAAAACGGAGAGCCAACGAGATACACCCTACGTGTATCTGGTGACCCGATGGCCAGTTCTCGTGGACTGGCAGGTGTAGGCATAGCACTAAGCATGAGGGCGGAACAAGCACTGCTAGAGTGGATCCCCATCAACAGTCGTCTATGTGCTGTTCGGCTAAACGGCTCCGTAAGAACTCGGAAGGATAGGGACACACGTCGTTGCCTTTTTGTCGTTTCTGCCTACGCTCCCACTGACTGCAGCTCAGATGAAGTGAAGGATGAATTTTACAGGAAGCTATCTGAACTTCTTCAGAAAGCTAAACGCTCAGACATAGTACTCGTAGGGGGTGACTTTAATGCGCAGATAGGTAGCTTAAACCAAACAGAAAGGCATTTAGGTGGATATTTTAGCATTCCGGCACAACGAACAGATAATGGTGATCGTCTGCTGCAACTGTGCTCAGACAATCGCTTATTTTTAGCAAACACAAATTTTAAGCATAAGGAGAGACATCGTCTAACATGGCGACCACCTACACCAAACCAACGATGGACTCAAATAGACCATATTGCCATCAGTCATCGTTGGAGAGGGTCGGTAGAAGATTGTCGCTCATTCTGGAGTACCTGCTTGGACTCCGATCATGCCCTAATACGGGCACGCATCTGCTTGCGCCTCACCGGACGCAAAAAAGCCACATTAAAAAGACCAATTAGAACTGAATTGAGCAACGAGAAAACCAAAAATAGGTTCCAAGAACAACTGAGTTCACACCTAAGTAGTTCGGAACACGAGGCTGACCCAGATGTTGCTTGGAAAGACATACAAGCAGCTGTGGAAGCAGCAGTGACATCTATTAGCAACTTAAACCACAGAGTTTCAAAGAACCAGTGGATTTCTTCAAAGTCTATCACACTGATGGATTCTCGCAAATTTGTCCCATCAGGTTCCGAACATGATGAAGAGCGACAACAAATCAGATCTAGGTTAAGAAAAAGTTTAAGAAACGACCGTGAGCAGTGGTGGGCAACGAAAGCAAAAGAGATGGAAAAGGCGGCGGCTATAGGGAACACAAGACAACTTTACAGACTAATAAAAGAAACTGGAATTAATAAGTCAAGTGTAAGTGAGATTATATCGGAAAAAGACGATACTCTCATCTATTCCCAGTCCAGACGTTTAGAACGATGGGCGGAACACTTTAGGGAACAGTTCAGCTGGCCTTCAGCGACTCTACAACTACCCTCCATTCCCAGACAGCGTGAATGGAACATTGAAGTAGGTCCCCCAACTCTTGCTGAAGTTCAAAAGGCTATAGATAATCTGAAACGAGGAAGGGCAGCTGGACCAGATGGACTGGTTCCAGAAGTCTTTAAAGATGGTGGTCCAATTTTAGCGATTAGGTTGACTAATATTTTAGCTAAGATCTGGGAGTTAAATGTTATTCCATCTGAATGGTCACAATCACTTATCGTCCCAATATATAAGAAAGGGTCAAAATCATCCTGTGACAACCACAGAGGGATTAGTTTAACTAATATAATATCTAAAATACTAGCCTCGATAATTATCAGACGCCTAACTAAGACTCGTGAACTGCAAACACGAGAAAACCAAGCTGGTTTCAGACCTGGTCGTGGCTGCATCGACCAAATATTCACCATTCGTCAGGTTCTAGAACACAGGCACACTTATCGGCGTCCGACGATGGTGGTCTTTCTTGACTTAAAAGCAGCATTTGACTCGGTAGACCGCGAGGTTCTGTGGCAGTGTCTGTCATTGAAAGGCGTACCTCAGAAGTACATAAACCTTGTGAAGGCTCTTTACTCGAACACTACTAGTCGAGTGAGAGCTTATGGCGAACTGTCATCTACTTTTGCAACCTCAAGTGGTGTCCGTCAAGGATGTCCACTTTCCCCATTTTTGTTTAACTTCATCATAGATCTACTGATGGAAATAACTTTCTCGTCGACTGAGTTCTCGGGTATTGATCTCTTTCCAGCAGGTCCACTTATCGACTTAGAATACGCAGATGACATAGTCCTGTTTGGTGAAGACGCTGACAAAATGCAAAGTCTTCTGGTAGCACTGAGCAACAATGCCAGAATGTTTGGAATGCGCTTCTCTCCCTCGAAATGCAAGTTGTTGCTTCAGGACTGGTCTGCGTTAACACCTGAACTAAGGATAGGGAGTGAAGTAGTCGAACGCGTTGACAACTTCACTTATCTTGGAAGTCTGATCAGCCCTAATGTGTTGGTATTGGACGAAATCTCAGCACGGATTCGAAAAGCTCGTTTGGCTTTTGCCAACTTACGTCACCTGTGGCGAAGGCGAGATATCCGTCTATCAATAAAAGGACGAGTATACTGCGCGGCAGTCCGTTCTGTTTTACTTTACGGTAGCGAAACATGGCCATTAAGAGTAGAAGACACTCGCAAGCTGCTAGTATTTGACCACAGATGCCTTAGAAATATTGCTGGCGTCTGCTGGGATAATCGGGTAAGTAATAGTGAGGTTAGACGCAGGGTATTAGGAAAGGATGGTAAATCAGTTGATGAGGTTATGAATCTTCATCGACTGAGATGGTTGGGCCACGTGTTACGTATGCCTGAACACCGATTACCACGACGTGCAATGCTATCCGGTGTTGGGGATGGTTGGAAGAAAGTTAGGGGCGGCCAAACCAAAACGTGGCATCAGTGTTTGAAGTCATTAACTTCTAGTCTGAGCCATGTTGGTAGATGCAGACTACTTGGTTGGGGTCCGCGTGACTATCGTAACCAATGGTTGGAGACTCTTGGTGACATGGCTCAGAATCGATCACAATGGCGTCGGTGTATACACTCCCTGTCTTCCCTTAAACTAAGAGATTAAAAGCGCTTCATATCTTTCTTTCTACTAACCAATTCTTTCTTCTTGTACTATATCTCTATATGCAATCTTTCTCTTATATATTACCACCTTTTACCTAACCACTGTTATGAATCCGGTGTTCATCTTGTTGTGCTAATGCGGTATGGCAACCTGGACCGATGCACATAAGTGCATGGTTCTACGTTGTAGCTGACTGACTGACTGACCAAAGAATTGTTGATATCCAGTGACAAAATCATGTTAATGTGGATGGTTGGGAATATGTATTCGGGGGCAGAGTGGCGATAATTCAATTAATGCCACCAACTTGAAAGACCATTTTCAATAGCTAAAACATGTTTTACGAATGTCATTCCAGAGGCTTCCACATCAGGTATTAATTGCCGATGCCGATATAAGGTAGAAGAAACAGAGAGGCTGTCAATTTGCGACATAGGACCGTGGTATAAATTAAAGTTGTATATAACCGGGATTTATTGGTTCATCAAAACTCACCGGTTGAGATCCCGGACAGGGTGCAACTTGATTAGCTTGAGGTATTATCAAATATGTTTTAGAATAGAAGCTGGTAGTTGTCCTGCTGTATTTTTTTACACTCTTCATAAAAGTAAAGCTCTCTAAACCAAAAGGTGTTCCTTAATTGTATTCACTTATTCTTTTGATTGCACTCCCCTCCTCTTCATAATGTTAGCTTTTCATTTTGTATGATGTATACTATTTTTGGTGTTCAGTTCAATTAAACCAAATTTTGTGTGAATTAAATATACAACAATAAAATATAAAATAATGTTCTATGTTGTACGTGTTCCCAAACATATGTACATATATACATACACATATAAAGACCAGCAGAACAGAAACTTACATGTAGTAAAGACTTATCGTTAAATGTATATCCCAAACGATTCTCCAAACTTTCCAACGATTTATGAAAACGTAGGTGAGCTATTAATGAGACTAAATTTAATGCATATTGTGGTATATCTGGTCGTATTCCAGTTCGATAAAAGCCTTCACAACTAATCTCTACAGTAACTTCACGTCGATGTACCCTAGAAAAAAATCAGAGACAGATATTTATCATTAGAGGTAATAAATAACAAGATTGTAAAATAATTGGAAAACAGTTACTAGAATGATTAATTTAGGTATAAAATTAATTGTGACATATTTTTAAAATCTTTTTATGCTATTTACTATTTTAATCAACCAATCTGTCTACAATAGTTTAAAGTTTGAATGAGCTTCCCAACAAATACAGCATGATATATGTTATATATTCTCATTCCACTAGACAGAGAATATTCAGCAAGGAAGTACATGTGTTCATCTGTGCATAATACTTTTGAGTCATAAGTGTTTTACCAGGTAGTTTGTAATACCAATCTTGATTGCCTAGATCGAAGCGAACGAGGAAGGGGAAATTAAAGCATGTAACCGAATACATGTTGTCTTATCTGTTAAGCGACCCCTTACTCGATTTTACTGTACAAGGAATGCGGATAAATAGAAAAAAATCTAAATTTTATTATAATAAAGGGACGCTATCTGTTGTAAAAACAAGTCGTGAAATGACCTTCAGATGTTTAAAATCCCTACCATAACAGCCAAGCGTTATTATATGCAACTGTTTAAGAAAATATAATCTAAATACAATTTTTTACTTTGAAAAATACCTAATTTGAATTGTTGCATTAAAAGACAACAAACATAGTTACGGAATTAATAAGCCTTGAGACATCATGGTAAGTTTTCTTGTCCTCAAAAAAATGCTCTCATACGACCACAGCTTTTAGCCTCTGTCGAGAAAGTCCTAACTACTCCGTTTACGCAGCGAAAGCATTTTTTCTTTACAGGAGTAAGAGAATAAAAATCATAAGTTAGGCCATTAAACCAGGATACTGGATACAGTGAGTCCACAAAAAACAGTTGGAAAACAGCTGTTCGGTGCTTCTCGGTTCTCAATGCTTGTTTGAGCAAAGTTAGTCAGTTCATTATTTAGTCTATAAATGTTAACAATCACCACAAACCCATTACATTAACGATAGAAACAGAACTTACCCAGAATGCTCCATCTCTTCTAATTCACTGGCTAATTGTACTAACTGTACACGATCAGAAGTACTAATTCTTGGCTTATTCATCATTAAATATTGTAATTTCATAAAATTTTTAAGTACAGATTTATACTTTGGTTCACGCGTTAAACTTAATTTCATTGGTGTATAAGTCATGTGTACTATGAGTGGATAAATTAATATGGTTTCATTTGATTGACCTGTTACAGATTGACGATCTAATTGATCTATGCGTATAGTTGATGGTTTCTGCAATATTAAAATAAAATGCACACAAAGAGAGGGAGTTGAGAGAAGTAATAATTTATCAGAATACACTTACTAGTCAATAACAGTATACAATCCAAATGATAGGATAGGTCAATGAAATATATGTTTCTCCTCTATTTTGGACTTTGATTTTTACTACGACATGGTCTCAATAATCCTATTGAGTAGTTGAATAGAATAGATAGATCACATCTAGCAGTGGATTTGAGGACGTGCATTTCATCCTATTTCGAACTCTTCAGCTGGATGTGCCTAAAACGTTTTAATGTGCGTTCCGAAATTCGTTGATAGCCACAACCCAACTATTATATTATGTCCTATACTTGATTACAGTAGAATACGGTATACAAATATCAACACTCAAACATTTAAAACCTGATAATCACAAATTAAGGGACGGAAGAGGCAAGAGAAGTCGAAAATGTGCAAAAAAACAGGGGTATTTATAGTTCTTATAATAGGCTATAACATCATTATAATCAGCAAGTAGGAAAGTTATACAACTGTCGAATAAAGGCATATCACTTTGGTATTTTAGAAGGTTTTATCGGGTTATGATTGGATGGAATCTCTTCGTCTCCTTTAGAGCCTCTGGAAGCTTCATCGTGCTTTTTGGTAGCCGTCCCAGCATATTCCGTAAAAATTATCACGAATTGGTTACATAAAAGCAATCAGCGTAAGATGTACATATCTTAACAACGACTGATTTAAATTCGATCAATAACCAACTTACTTTGCCTGGAAAGCAAGCTAATGTGCCTCGTAAATTAGCGATATGATTTGACCATTCAATTGTAGTCATACGCTGTATTGAAGATAATTCCATCATATTAATTACCGGAGTCAGTGCCTCTTTTAACCAGTGTCGCATTATTACATGAACGGGTAGTAATTCCCCAATTACTGTATTATTGTCACTACTATCACCGATACAAACGACTAATTTATTTGACTCGATATTATGTTCTTTACTGTTATCTACTGAAATGCTATTGTTAGTAGTAGTGGCAGTATTTGTAATCGAAAAATTATCATTGGTAGTAGTAGCAGGATTTGACAAAATACGTATAAATCTTGGCATTAAATGTATCACATTACAGCTCTCCTTTGCTCCATATGGTTTCCAGTTTAAATCTAACAACTCCAGTAATTCAATGAATACATATTGTGTGAGTAGATCTAATGAACGAACAGTAAAATACTGAAAAATAAAAATAGAAATATTTAAAAAATTGAAGGATAAGCTACGGTATACAGTACATATATTTTAAATGTAAAGTAATTCTGCAATATTCGTATGAGTCAATGCTTACACATTCTTTGTGGTAATCTGTTGAAAGTAATCAAAAAAATTCATGTATCAAGGTAGTTGTGAAAGCGTTGATGGTGGTGTTAGTAATTAGATCAATCAACATATAGAGAAAGGTAGATAGACTCATTCTAATCTGGAGCATCTTTGGAGTTGTCGTAATATTCGTCTAGATATCAGAATTTGGATCTAAAACGCGTCGGTGAGACCAATTCTGTACCATACTTGTGAAACCTGGTCTTTCCGAGTTGAAGATGTTCTACGACCATGTTTCGATCATCGTTGTCTCCGAAGAATTGCTGATATCCAGTGGCAGTCCCATAATAATAGTTTGGAGGTTCGGTGTTCAGACACAGTGACAATAACTCCCTTGGTAACATCTTGAAATACCGGCTTCGGTGGTTTGGAGATGTGTTATGAACGTCATCATAGTGACTTCCACATCGGGCATACTTTGCCGACGATTGAGTGGAGTGAAAGCGAAGGTGGTCAATTTATGAGAAGACCCCGAGATACGAATCAAAGCTGTATATAACTAGGATCTGCCAGTGATTGTGAAACCCAGGAATCATCACAATCAACAACACAATACCAAGTATAGTAGAAACAGATAGAAAAGTCTAACCTGAGGGAATTCCTCTTCAATTGGGAAAATATCATATAACAGATTGAAACGTAGAACTTGACATGGAGGCGGCTAAAAATTAAATATAGCAATACAAAGGTAACTTTGAAAACAATAAAATGACTTAAATTTCCATAAATTAATATGCAGAATTAACAAAAGAGCTGAAATAGTATTTGTGATCCTTGAAAGTTAAATGAAAAGGAATATAATTTGAAAGAAACAGTAAAAATATACTTTAAATTAAATCCTCACTAGGTTTCACTCTAATATACGATTATATTTATATGGATATACCAACCAATCAAATATAAGCTTCATTGTCCAATTATCTGAATACTTCTTATTAGGTAATTTTATAGTATTTATGAATGCTATTTTAACATTTATATTTTTTTCAAGTCATTAACTTATTTCGAATTATGAGATATTGATTCAAGCCTTTGTTATTCTGATCACAACTAATACACTTGTCATCATCGCACTATCAATTTGTAATTTCTACTTATTATGTTTATTTCATATCATTTATTCCACTGTTATTGTCGTTTCTGCCTACGCTCCCACCGACTGCAGCTCAGATGAAGTGAAGGATGAATTTTACAGAAAGTTATCTGAACTTCTTCAGAAAGCTAAACGTTCAGACATAGTACTCGAAGCAGGTGACTTTAATGCCCAGATAGGTAGTTTAAACCAAACATAAAGGCATTTAGGTGGGTATTTTAGTATTACGGCACAACGAACAGATAATGGTGATCGTCTGCTGCAACTATGCTCAGACAATCGTTTATTTTTAGCAAACACAAATTTTAAGCATAAGGAGAGAGAGACATCGTCTAACATGTCGACCACCTACACCAAACCAACGATGGACTCAAATAGACCATATTGCCATCAGTCATCGTTGGAGAGGGTCGGTAGAAGATTGTCGCTCATTCTGGAGTACCTGCTTGGACTCCGACCATGCCCTAATACGGGCACGCATCTGCTTGCGCCTCACTGGACGCAAAAAAGCCACATTAGAACTGAGTTGAGTAACGAAAAAACCAAAAGTAAGTTCCAGGAACAACTGAGGTCACACTTAGGTAGTTCTGAAAACGAGGCTGACCCAGATGTTGCTTGGAAAGATATAAAAACAGCTGCGGAAACAGCAATGAAATCTATTAGTGACTTAACCCACAGAGTTACAAAGAACCAGTGGATTTCTTCAAAGTCTATCACACTGATGGATTCTCGCAAACTCGTCCCACCAGGTTCCGAACATGATGAAGAGCGACAACAAATCGGATCTAGGTTAAGGAAAAGTCTAAGTGTTAGCGGGACATAGACTAGATTAAAGCATGCTCAATGCATGATTGCTTTGGTGCACGCTGATTGGCTAATTCTTATCCAATCAGCACTAGTCGATTGTTGGAGAATACTCTGGAATCTTCTTATGTAAAAACTATAAATATACTGACGTTTTCCCTATTGTGCTTCTGACTTGCATCTTACTTCCATCTAACCTTGTTATTTGGAATATAATCTCTTTCCTGTTCAACCGTGTTCTGATTTGGGGACTTGTCGAGTGAATCGGTGTCCAAGAATACTAAGCAATAGGAATAGCTGGGTTATAACCGTAAGAAAGAGATCATAACAGTGGCGACAGGGAAAAAGGAAAACAAATTCAAGATGCCCATATCAGATGACCAGCTTAACCGAATACTACAACAACAGCAAGCACAACTTGATGCACAAATGCGGTTGTTGGAGACTCTGACTCAACAGCTCAGTATCCACAGCTCGAGTTCACATGCTATTTCATGTACGTCTTGTGATGCAGTTGCTAGCAGCATCCCAGAATTCATCTATGATCCCGAAAGTGGAAATACTTTCCTCACGTGGTTCAAACGTTGGGAAGATACATTTAGAACAGAATTCTGTAACCAAGACGATGCGTGGAAGACCCGATTGTTGGTACGTAAATTGGGAAGCAACGAACATGCACGTTTTGCTAAACATATATTGCCAAAGTTACCTCGAGCTCAGTTTCGAGGAGACGGTATTTCAGTTGTCAGAGATATTCGGCGAGTCATCCTCGTTGTTTAGTATTCGATATCGGTGTCTAAATTTGGTGAAACGCGAAGCTGATGAATATGGTGTTCTAGCAGACATCGTCAACAGAGAATGTGAACGTTTCAAGTTACGCTCGTTGACTGATGACCAATTTAAATGCTTAATATTCATCAAAGCTCTTCAGTCACCACAAGATGCTGAGATCAGGACTAGACTTTTAGCTCGACTGGATCAAGACCCAAACGTCCCATTCAGAACATTGACAGATGAGTGTAAGCGTCTACAAAGCATCAGACACGACAACCAGTTGATTGAACAGGTAAATCCTAATTTAACCTACGGTAGTGTAAATACTATTACTAGGTTAAAAGTTCAGAAGCCGGTAACAACTCGTAACAAACCAAGGACTGCATGCTGGTTATGCGGTGATTGGTATTATGCACGATTCTGTCCGTTCAAGAAGCATAAATGTCAGGCGTGCAACAAACGTGGACATAAAGAAGGTCATTGTCCACCGAAGCGTACGTCTCAGCCTAAGAAGAAGCATAAACGTCCTCGACTTGTGAAATCAGCTGAGTCTAAATCTCTTTCTCTGGTAGCTGCCTTTTAAACAAACTATGACATTCGGAGAAAGTATGTTACCATCCAGATAAACGGCATTTCAGCTCGTCTTCAAATTGACACGGCATCAGATATCACGTTAGTGTCTAGAGAAACGTATAACTTGCTGGGTAAACCGCCAATGAAACCATCTACGAAAACGGCTAAAAACGCATCAGGTGGTGTGCTAAAACTGGTTGGTGAATTACAGTGTGAATTTTCCTTCAATGGAACTAACTGTACAGGAATATGTTACCTAACAGAACGGCCGAACCTTGATCTTCTTGGTCTAGATATGTTAGACAAACTTGGAACAATGGATATACCAATTAACAGTGTCTGTAAAGTATCGTGTTCATCATTGGACACCCCAGTACTTCCAAAGAAGATAGGTGAAACGTTACTAGAAAAACTGAAAAGAAAGTTTGCCTCTGTTTTTCAGAATAGCCTTGGCCACTGTACCAAGATGAAAGTGCACTTACCAGTGAAACCAGATACTATACCTATTTTTCGCCCGAGACGTCCTGTATCATATGCTGCTCTTGAGCTAGTCAACCAGGAACTTAATCGCTTGCAACAGGCTGGTGTAATCCGACCAGTTAACTACTCTGCATGGGCCGCACCGATCGTAGTGATTAAGAAGGCCAATGGGACTATACGCATATGTGCCGATTTCTCGACCGGTTTAAATGCTGCATTAGATGTATATCAATATCCATTACCAGTTCCTGAAGACCTGTTTGCCAAGCTGAATGGTGGTACATGCTTCGCGAAAATAGACTTCTCCGATGCTTATCTCCAAGTGGAAGTAGATGAAGACAGTAGAGAGCTTCTGACCATTAACACTCATCGAGGGTTATTTCAATACACCCGTCTACCATTTGGCATCAAGAGCGCACCCGCCATCTTTCAGCAAATAATGGATACGATGCTAACAGGTATAACTGGTACAGTAGCTTATCTCGATGATATCATAGTTATGGGTTCAATTGACAGTGAACTTCTGATCGACCACACCAAGTCCTTAACCGAGTGTTGGAGTATGGCTTCCAACTACGTGAGGAAAAATGCATCTTCTTCATGCATTCGATCAAATACCTTGGTTTTATCTTAGAACGGTCGCCGACCAGACCCTACCAACATCGAAGCCATTCAGAAGATGCCTGCACCAACTGATGTTTCTTCATTAAGATCCTTCTTGGAGTTGATCAGTCATTACAGCACATTCTTGCCTGAAATGCATCGAGTGAGAGGTCCCCTAAATGAATTACTAACAAAAGATAAACCTTGGCAGTGGTCAGCAGAATGTCAAGCATCTTTTGACAAAGTCAAATCAATACTCAGCTCAAAGATTCTTTTGACGCACTTCGATCCCAGCTTGGAAATTGTTGTTGCATCTGATGCCTCTAGTCATGGAGTTGGAGCAGTGATATCTCACGTGTTTCCGGATAAATCAGAAAAGACAATTGCCCATGCTTCTAGATCACTTACTCCAGCCGAGCGAAACTACAGCCAAATTGAAAAGGAAGCTCTTGCAATCATTTTCGCTGTCAAAAGATTTCATAAAATGCTCTATGGTCGTACATTTACTCTACTGACAGATCACAAACCTTTGATTGCAATCTTTGGTTCTAAGAAAGGAATCCCTGTCTATACGGCTAATAGACTACAGAGCTGGGCGGCAATGCTCCTGAGTTATGATTTTAACATCAAGTATCAGTCGACAAATACTATCGGTCAAGCTGACGCTATTTCCCGATTGATTGGAGTTCAACATCCTGGACCAGAGGATATAATCATTGCCTCCACAGCAGTAAACCCAGAAATACGAAGTATAGTGGCAGATGCCATTCGAAACACTCCAGTGTCGTCAGATGAAGTCAGGGAAGAAACGCTTCGAGACCCAACACTATAAGAAGTTAGAAAGTTCCACCTAGAAGGGTGGCCCTCGAAAATCAGTTCCACAGAGCTTCAACAGTTTTACCAGCGAAGACTCTATCTTTCAATCATCGATGACTGTCTGCTGTTTGCCGAACGTGTCATAATCCCCAAGAAGCTACAACCAACAGTGCTTGAACAGTTGCATGCAGGACATCCTGGAATAAATCGCATGAAAGCACTAGCACGAAGTTATGTATACTGGCCGCATTTAGACACCCAACTGGAGCAGCTATCCCGTTCGTACTAAATGTGCATTAGCAACAAAAGCACCACGAAAAGCAGAGCTGCAATCATGGCCAATACCAGTCACCGTGGCAGCGTATACATTTGGACTTTGCTGGTCCACTTCATGGACAAACTTACCTTTTGGTGGTTGATGCATATAGCAAGTGGCGAGAAATTTTTCTCATGGAACACCCGACTGCAAGCTGTACAGTCAGTAAACTACGTCAACTATTCAGTCGTTTCGGAATCCC